CACTAAGATTTTTCCCTTGTTTCTCCCATCATTACCTTCCCTGCATTTCTATTGCTTTCTCTGCCTCAGCTTTCGTTTAATAGCTTCTTTCTTCCTCCTGAGGTCCTTTAGCCATCTACCTTTTATGTATTATGTCCTTGAGTCTGTTAAATTTTGCTCGTGTGTGTGTGTGTGTGTGTGTGTGTGTGTGTGTGTGTGTGTGTGTGTGTGTTGGTACTGGACTTGAACTCAGAGCCTGATATAGCCCCTAGTTTTTTTTGCTCAAGGCTAGTACTCTACCACTGAACTATAGCTCTACATTTGTTTTTTTGTTTGTTTTTGGTCAGTCATGGGGCTTGAACTCAGGGCCTAGGCACTGTCCCTGAGCCTTTTTCCTTAAGGTTAGCACTCTCATTTTGAGCCACAGCTCTACTTCTGGTGTTTTGATGGTTAATTAGAAATAAGAGTTTCACAAACATCCCTGTATAGACTGGCTTTGCGTTCACAATCCTTCTATCTCAGCCTCGTGAGTAGCTAGGATTATAGCATGAGCCATTACTGCCTGGCTCACATCTGGCTTTTTGATGGTTAATTGGAGATAAGAGTCTCATGGATATTCCTACCCAGGCTGGCTTCAAACTGTGGTCCTCAGACCTCCGCTTCCTAAGTAGCTAATATTATAGGCATGAGCCACCAGTGCCCAGCTTTGAATTCTGACTCTCTGTGAGCCATTTGATTGGCTCTGTTAGTCAGATTCCAGATGGATGGAACTCCTGCTGGGCCATTCCCTGAGTTGCTGCCCAACTTGTCTAAGATTGCCTTTGGCTCAGTGATTAATTCTTAATATCTAAGCATTAATAATTCTTAATAATGATGAGAGCTCATGATTCACACCATGTGACCTCTGACTTAGGAAGCTGTTTGTGGTAGCTTTCTTCCTAAGTCACCTGTGTGTGAGAAAGACACTCAATGAAGAACCTGAAGCAGACGTGAAGATTTGGTTTCATGTCAGTCCTGCATTTGCTGCTGGTAGAATGTAATATCTCTATCTCTTAAAGACTTTTCTGCACAGGTATCATCGTCAGTTCCACTACCAATCCATCCGTCCCTGCCCTCCCCCCACCAGACACTTGAGATTTTTTTTCTTAACACAGTGCTCTAAGTTGCTAATTGTGATTGACAATGGAACAGATTGCCGGAACTTAAATTCTACAGGAAGCCACATGAAGGCTTGGCCCGCATACAGCTCTTGGTTGTAGCCCAACTTTTCAGCCTCAGTTGCCACAATTATTTATATAACCTGTGCTGAAAATTCTCCATTCTAGGACTGGGAAGGTGGCTCAGTGGTAGAATGCTTGCCTTGCATGCATGAGGCCCTGGGTTCGATTCCTCAGCACCACTTAAGTAGAAAAAGCCTAAAGTGGCACTGTGGCTCAAGTGGTAGAGTGCTAGCCTTGAGCTGAAAAGCTGTGGGACAGGCCAGCCCAGAGTTCAGGCCCCACAACCAACAAAAAATAAATAAATTCTCCATTCCCCTTTCCAGGTCACCCCTCCACCCACCTCGAGAGGCTTGACTTTAGAGACTGAATCAGCGCAGTGCCCAACTTCTAGCTTTCGTAGAATTTGGCCCAAAGGGAGCACAGGTAAGATAGAGGAGAGAAGACACATGGAACATGAGTTTGAGATATATTTCCACCACGCCTCCTTCCTGGCCTATGGTTATCTTTCTCCACAAAATACTATTTTTTTCTTGTAGTGCTGCGGATCTAACCCAGTACTTGACTGCAAAAGAAGGAAGCCAAAATGAAACACAAGCAGAAGTGGCCTTATTTCTTCAGCGTGAAGAAAGCATGAATATGTAACACGGGCAGGGTGTGGGAAGGTGTGTGACCAACACTTGTCCTGGTACACCCTGGCTCCAGGGACCTTCCTAATCATCACTTAAACTAACTCTTCACTCAACAGTTGCCTATATGTGTTAATTCAAACATTACCAAAGATGTATGGAAAGGCACTTGTAGAAAGATGTTATTTATAAGGCAAAGATTGGTAACAAAGCCATCAACAGTCTGACTAAATTATAGTATATCCATATGGTGGAGTTACAGGAGCCATTCAACATCATATTTGAGAGTTGGGGATGCGGCTCTGTGGTAGGGTACCTGCCTAGCAGGCTTGAGGCCTTGGTTTCAATTCCCAGCACCGTAAAAATGTATTCAAAGTTTTGAAAAATTACTGAATAAATACATTTGGGCAGTGATACACAGGCATTGGCTAAACTTTTTTTCTTTGTGCTTTCCCAAGTTTCCTCCTCTGAGTAATGATGATGTCTATAACTAGAAAAAAAATGATCAAATGCATGCTTTCGAGTTGGCTTATTTACTCTCTCAAACCTGAACATCGCACTAAGAATAATCAAAATTGGAAGTTTTGAGTTGTTGGTTTAGTTATGACCAAGTCAAAATGTCACAACAGCTGTGACCACGCTCCAGAGCCACTACCCTTATACTGAGCACCCAATCAGGATCTCAGAAGAGACAGGAAATGAGGGGTGCTCACCTGTATGCTGGATTCCTCTGGGCTCAGACCTGAACATTGCTTTGTCTTGCTTTAAAAGTTCCTTGAAACAAGTTTACTATAGCTACTGTAAGAGAGCAATGGGTCTAGTCTACTATACCCATTTTGCAGATGGAAGAACAGAGGCCTAGAGAAGTGATAGATAGCTAGGGACAGATGTCAGTCTCCTGAGTGCCAGGATGAATTATTTGTCTTCTTTTGCAAACCAGCACATCCAAAGGTAGAGTTTTATAGATCAACAGACTACAAATATTTATGTATAAATAGGTTTTTACAAGTATTTCAAGAGAGACTTGAGAACTACAAAGACTTCTAAAGACAACTTATTTCTGGTCTGCTCCCCAACTGAACTTCAGAAGCATGGGTGAGTAGTTTTCAAAATGTATTCATTGACTACAGTGATATTTGGAAAGACCATCTCTAGTCTAATGTAATGGAAAAGACAATGCAACTGTGCTGTGCTGGATAAGCCAAGATATTAGAAATCAAAATACCATTGTATCCAAGGTTGGCTTGATCCCAGGACAAATAAACATAATTTTGTTAGGGACTTTGTGTCCCTCACCCTATTCAAAGATCCTTACGTAGCAGAGCTCAGAGAGCATAATTTCCAGGGATTACAAAGAATGCTTTCCCTTGGCTAATCCAGAAAACTGGTTACCTTGCTAGCTGCAAGCAATATTTCCCCGTTCTACCCATTAATCAACCTGCCAAGCCAAGTCATACATCTTACGCCCTCTCAGTAAGTCAGATCCAGTAAGGCCCTGAAAGTTTTCTTTAGAAGATGCTCAATAATAAGAAATTTATAATGTGAAGTTCAAAGATCTGGCTTCCCTTAACTACATACGCAGTTATCTGGGAACTCCCCCAACAAGTCACTTAACCACCACTACCCCCCCCCCCCCCAACTCAGATCTCCTGGGAATTCTCCCAAATCCAGACCACTCATTCAATAACAGGCTTATACAAGCCCAGCCCAGCCCAGCCCAGCCCTGGTTTGTAAAAGATATAGTTAATCTTTAAGCTGAAAGTGTGTGGTGCTGCAGTATGTGGAGTCCATCATTTCCGCACTTGTCCAGTATTAAAGATTAAAGTGGAAAGAGAACGCTGAATTAGATTTGTTGAGCTCTAAGGTTACTCCAATGAGGGAAACAATTTCTCTCTTGTGTGGAGGCTCTTAAATTAATGTGCTCCAGCTGCCTTCTAGGCTATGGGATGTTTTTCAGTCAGTAGTCACTGTTTAAATTTTTAAATCCATTGATTTTTCTCTTGCAATTCACACTCGAATATTCACAAAATTCACTAAGCACTGACTATATGCCAAGCCATGGGAAGAAAGCTATGAGGAGAGTAAAATTCCTGCATTCTTAGAACTTACATCTACCAGAGTGGAGAGCCAAGGGCGCACAGTCATATTTACATAGTGTGATAAATACTGCAAGGAAAAACACAGGAAGTAAAGAGACACTAGCTGTGAAGGTTCCCCTCTAGGAACTGACCTTTGAAAGTTGCAGGGGGGGGGGGTCACTAGAAATCAACTCACCTGTAAAAAATTCATGAACCTCTCCCTTATCAAATGCCCTTGAGTTATTTTTTCTATTATTACATACATTATTTTTTATTTTGAATTTTTAGCTCTCTTGTTCTTCATCAAGAGATGTAGTGAGTAATGTTCTGTGTTAGATGGGAATTGAGACACACCAGCCTCCTCTGTACCTAGACACTTCAAGCAGCAAGAAGATACCTGGGCAAGAAGCCTGCTTAGCTTGCTTTCAGGGAGGAACAGGATCTTTCTGCTGAATTTGAGGTTCTGTTATCACAGGTGATGTATAAACCACTTTGAAAAGCACTTGTAGAAATTTTTGCTCTTTCTTGTCCTCCTGAATAAGAGGCTACAGGCTTGAGAAGAGAAAAACAGAAGCCGTGTGTGTGTGTGTGTGTGTGTGTGTGTGTGTGTGTGTGCACAAAAAATGACCCACTGCCTCCCCAGCGGATGGACTCTGATTCTTCAACTTTGTCTCCTTTGGGGGACAAGAGGAGAGGAAAGACAGGCGCGTCCCCAACTCGTGGTAAAGTTCCTAGCTGGTCACGTGGCATGGAAAAGGAATCATGAAAGGAGAAAACAACTTTACACAGGAAGTTTTCTCTGAAATGTGATCCACAAACTCCCCTCTCCCCTCTCGGGTGTATTCTATCGGGAGTGTAATACTCTAGCCGCAGGAGACCCAGCTTTTTCCTAATCCCTCACTAAACCTAAATAAACATCAATAGATAAGGAAGTGCCACCAGAAGCTTCTAGGAATAAGAAGATGCAGTGTGAACGGGGGTGGGGCGGGGGTTGGGGGGCAGGGCAGTGCCCACTCTGGGTGCTTTACTTCTGTTCTGATCTGCATGCGCATCTTGGGCCAGCGCCCAGGGCCGGCCGCCCAGCATCCCCGGCCGGCATCCGCAGCGCGTCTGGTCCCCGTCTCCCCCCGGGGAGTCCTCGGGCACTGCGGCATCGCGGGCACACGCCGGCCTCCCCACCCCCACCCCGCCCCCAAAGCCGCAGCGCAGCGGGTTGTGTCACTCGGTCTGGACGCCTGGAAGAGCGCACCGCGGCGTCCACGGACAGACCCCGAGTCCGGTGACCCAAAGCCCATCGATGGGCAGGAGGGACCCCAAGACTCTGGGGGAGGGCGAGATCGGGGTGCTGTTAGGACCCCATCACCGGGGGGGGGGGAGGGTGGCGGAGATTGGACATCTCTTTAGGAGCGATCTGTCGCCGTGGAGTTGCGCGGGGCGGGGGGAGAGGGCTGCGCCCCGCGCGTCCCCCAGGGGAGAGCCGAGGACGCCCCGCGCCCGGCCCGTTACGTAACCCTCACCGGCGAAGGACCGGGAGAACGCGGGGCGCACCGGTGCTCATCCAGGACGGTAATTCACAGTCCACCCGGGCTGCACCCAAAGGCTCTAGGTGGGAAGGAGACCTAATGGGGGGGGGCGTCGGGACCCGTTTCCCTCCCCTCCCCCGCACCCCGGCCCCCTCCGTCGCCACCTCCGCGGCGGGAGCCCGGTGCCCGGCGGTGATGCCGCCCTCCGGGCCAGGCCGTCCGGTGGCGGAGCCCTGCCGAGCCCCCCTCCATCCCCCGGCGCACACCTGCCCGCGGTTACCTGCGGGGCCCCGCCGCCCCGGCCGCGGAGCGCGGCGGGGTGCTGTCCGGCCGCGCCCTCCGCGGGGCCCGCAGCCTTCCCGCGGGGCCCGTCCTCGGGCGCCGGGAAGAGCCCGCAGCGGCGCTGGAAGCGCGCCACGAGCTGGGAGTCGCGCAGGTTCCGCAGCAGCTCGGCCATGGTGACCGCGCTCGGTGCCCTCGGCCCGCGACGCCGCCGCCGCCGCCGCGCACCCCAACCCCGTGCCCCGGGAGCGCGGGCGGGGCCCCGCGCCAGCCAACAGGTGCGCCGCCCGGGTCCTAGCGCCCGCCCGCCACGCCCCGGAGCCCCGGCTCCACCCCACCCCTCCGCATCCACGCGGGCGCCCGCGGCGTGCCGCCCGCCTGGCCCAGGCACGACAGTGGGTGGGGTACAAGCCCCCCACCCCCGCCCCACGGCGCCCCTCTCCCTCCCGGGCCGGCGAGGGCGGGGCTCGAGCTCGCGGGTGCACCTGCCCGAGCCCCTCCGCCGGCGCCGCCGCCCCGCGCGGGCTTCCGGCGAGTCTGGTTCCCCGCGCGCCCCGCGGGTGATTAGGGGCTATCCCCAGTTCTCTCCAAGTTCACTGGGGTGCAGAATTTCCTCTCGCTCAAGAATCCAGGGAATTCAAAGTGGGCCCCGAATCCGACCTCGGGGGGAAGGGGGTGCTGTCACATTCAGGGGCGAGGGCTGCAGCGCCCCGCTTGGGGGACATGACGACATTGGCCACGGTCTCCTGATTCTTTCGCTACACCTCTCAGATAACACACTGGGGGGAGCGCAAAGCATTGGGGGGGACTTTAGACACCTCCTCCCCAAGAACACGCGCTGAAACTGGGGAGAGGATCAGGCACCCCAGCCTACTCCTTCCCTCCCCCCCCTCCCCATCGCTCTCCCGGGTCTCAGATCCTGAGGACCGCCCCTGCACCTCCCCGGGGAGCAGGTGGCCGCGGTGAAACAAGATCCACCTGGGACCAAAGTCCGACCCCGTGCGCGCCCTGGTCTTGAGTGAGCAGCAGGCTCTGGTGCAAAGCCTACTATTCGGCCGCACAAACGACCATGACAGCAACTGCCTGGTCACCGCCGGGTTTACTCGGTGGTCCTTTGATAAGATCCAGGAGGTTGGGGCTGAAGCTCTAAGGACGACCTGTTGGTTCTTCCCCTGTGCCCTGTGCTCCGCTGTCCTTGCTTCCTAGCTCCATCAAGGTCAAGGTGGCCGAGAGGGTAAAGGTCCCTTGGAAGACACATTTCCCTTTCATAAGAAGAGGCACAGGGTACTGTCACCCCCCAGCCCGGTCTCACTCGGAGATGTCTGACTCAGGAGGCAACAGCCTCTTCCCCCAGTGCTCAGCGGTCATTTATAGGCCCTGAAACCCAACCCTGTGATTCAGTTTTAAAAGCTGGGCTTAATAGCAATTCCCAACTTGTTTTATGTGTTAAAAGAAATGATGTTCTCCCATTGGGGCCCTGTTGCATTGCCTGTCTCCAAAATCCAGGCCTTCGCCTTGTCTTTCTCCCAATAAAGGAAAGAGATGGAATAAAGCACGACACACTTAGCAGAGGTAACCCTAGACTTGGATTTCCAGGCACAGGGTTTATGGTTTGGGGTTTTTTCACATCTGTCACAGCATTCCGTGACTCATGATGTCCCCTGAGATAAACCAACTGTGTGCCTTATTTTCATTCTGTGATGAGGCAACAATCCTCACTTATTTCTTCTAATGCTCTTGTGAAATAATCTTTGGAGAAGCTGGCTGAGGCACCTGTCGGGTAGTGATAGCAATATAGTGTGTGGTGGGAAACTCTGAGAATTTACCACTGAACTTTTTTTTTTTTTTGCAGTATTGGCTTTTGAAACCGTGGCCTCTCACTTGTTAGACTGTTAAGAACCTCTGAGCTGGGCCTCAAACCATTTTTTTTTTGTTTTTTGCTGGTTATTTTGAGGATAAGATCTTCCTTTCCACCTGGCTGGGCACCTGGACCGTGATCTGCCTGCTTTAGTCTTTGCTTAGTTTGCTGGGATCACGGGCACACACAGCACATCTTACCTATTGGAGATGAGGTCTCTTGGGCTTTTGTGCCTGGGCTAGCTTGGAACCTCTGTTCTCCCACTCTCAGCCCCCTACATAACTTAAGTAGGCTCTCACACTTTCTACCTGGGCCAGCCTCAGACTAGATTGTCTTACCCACATCTCCTGAGTAGCTCGGACTGGGGAAATCTCACTAACTTTTTGCCTGGGGCTGGCCTTGAACCTTAAACCTTTTGATCTCTGCCTCCTAATGCTGGCATCACAGATGTATGACAACTATGCCTAGCTTTAGTTCTTTGCTGACTTCACACTAATACTGGCTGAAGGAAATAGATTTCCCCTCCCTTTTATAGGGCATAAACTCAGTGTTTTGTACTTTGCTCAATCATGCATGCATAATTATTATTCAATGGCATTTTACTCTATTTTTGGCACAAAATCTCACCATGTAGCCCAATGATTGGGATCTTCCTGTCTTCAAGTTTGGGATCTTCCTGTCTTCACTTCCCAATGATGAGATTGCAGACATGCACCCACATACCTGGCTATAATGACATTTCAAATCAGCCAATGATCAGATGTATATGTTAAGGTAAAGGTTCAGCTACTATAACAAAAAGACCCCCAAATATAATGGTTCTAAAAACATACTTATTTCTCTTTATTAAAAAAATTCTATTGTAAAAGTGGTATACAGAGGGGTTACAGTTACATGAGTCAGGTAATGAACAATGTCACCTACACCTTCAATCTTTCCCAGTTTTTCTCCTCCAAAATTCTCTCCCCCGCCACAAAGTTGTATATTTCATTTCCAACATAGTCTAGTGGGTTTCACTGCTGAATTAATTCACTTTTTGTCCCACCATTTCTGTGCTCCCCAAATCAGATAAACTTATATACAAGACAAGGGTACAGAAATCAAAACCAGTGACAGATGGAAATAAACCGAAGTAAAAAGGAAAGAAGAAAAAGAAAAAGGAAGGAAGGAAGGAAGAAAACTACAAATAATATTATATGTATATATTAAAAAAAAACACCTCTTACTTCCACTTCTTGGAGTTCATTTTCATTTCTCTTCCTTATGACGGTTCCCAGGTGAGCAATAAGTTGAGGTTGGTAAGAACGTCTTCTCCAAGATGCAACTCAGTAACTTAAATTCATCTTTTTGCCTCACCATACCCTGGGTCCCAGTCCTTAGTCCTTGTCCCTTTCTATAAGTGCGGCTGAATTATAGGCACACCTGGAATCCATGCCTGAAAAGGAGATGACAATGATAGCAAACATAGGTAGCTGTGTTTACACCTGGCTTCCACTGCTGTGCTATCAGTAAGAACGTGGTCTTTCTGTTCTCAAGAGAGGGTACGGATTCAGCTCAAACTATATCACTATGGAAGAAGAAAAGGAGGATAGAGCCGGGCGCAGGTGATTCCCGCCTGTAATCCTAGCTACTCAGGAGGCTGAGATCTGAGGATCGTGGTTCAAAGCCAGCCTGGACAGGAAAGTCTGTGAGACTCTTACCTCCAATAAACCACTCGAAAACTGGAAGTGGTGCTTTGGCTCAAGTGGCAGAGTGCTAGCCTCGAGCTGAAGAGCACAGGGACAGCGCCCAGGTCCAGAGTTCAAGCCCCACGACTGACCAAAAAAAGAAAAAAGAAAATGAGGATAGATTTTAGGGGATGGGGGATGAGAGGGTAAAGTATGGATTACCAGTAGTCTCTACCAGGATATGGAAATAAACAACTGTTGCTTTAAAATGTTATAAAATGTTCATCTATGTTAAGAGTCAACCTGTAATCTGCCTGATTTTATCAGGCAATCTTTCTCTAATTTGGCACATTCTAAATGTCCTACAGATGCTTTTTTTTTTTTTTTAAAGCAGGACACTAATGGTATATTATTTCAGGAAGCAGTGGGCATCTATTTAATAGATTAAACTGAGGGAACTAAAAGAAGATGGTGTTTAAAAATATGCTTCAGTTTTAAATGAAAAGTTTTGGTATCAATTGGATACTATATTTGAACTTTAAATTTCTTTTTCTCTACAAAACAGACCTCCTTTAGATTATAATTAGTCCTTTCTGTATTCAAATGGGCAGTGTTTCCTGAATCAAAATAAATATATTCGGAGTTTGGGCTCTGTATTGGTTTTCTGATGCTGTGTAACAATTTGCCCATAAAGAGTGACTGAAATTTTGATTCATTATCCAGTAGTTTCAGTGGGCTAGCAATCCTAGCCCATTTTAGCTGGAGTCTCCAGCTCTAGGTTTCTCAGAAGGTTGTAATTTACGTGATGATGATGGCTAGAGCCACAGCCAGGCTCAGCTGGAGCTGGGCCAGCTCCCCAGATCAATGGCGTCACTGACACATTTCAGTTTCATGGGAACTGATGGTCAGAAGCTGCCTCTCTTCCTAGCCACATGGTCCCCTCATAGGCCAGCATCCTTTCATCGAAGCAAGCAAACAAGACGATGGAGAGACAAAGAGGGAGACCCAAGAAGGTAAAGTTAGGAGGCTTTTATGACTTAGCTTTGGAGGTTGTTGTAATATCCCAAATACTTTTGTTTTGTTTTGTATCTACTGTACTTCTTTGAAACAAATCACTGGATTCAACACACACCCAAAGGGAAAAGGAATGAGATAAGAACTATAGGATTGTTGGGAGTCATTTCAGAAGCTGCCAGTAGATATCTTAAAACCAATGAAAGCATAAACTGTTCACTTAGACAAGAAACAATAAAATGAAAAAACCCACAGTAAAGCCAATAAAGCTATTTGAAAACAAACCCAACAAAATGGACAAACCATTACCTAATTAAATGACGAAAGAACAAAAGGAAAAGAGAAACATAAGAACACAAAGTTAAAAATATTTTAGGTCTGGGAACTGGTGGTTCATGCCTATAATCTTAGCTTCTCAGGAGGCTGAGATATGAGGATCACAGTTCAAAGCCAACCCAGGCAGGAGAGTCTGTGAGACTCTTACCTCTTAACAAACTACTCAGAGAAAGTCAGAAGTGGAGCTGTGGCTCAAGTGGTAGAGCACTAGCCTTGAGCAAAAGACAGTGCCAGGCCACAAGTTCAAGCCCCAGGACTGACACACACAAAAGAAAACAAAAAGATTTTTAAAAAATATTATGGGA